AATAACATACACATTCAATTGGGTAAGGAAATCTGTCTTACTCTATGGGAATATAGGGGGAGAAGAGGACAAGAGAGGGGATGATAGAGAGGAGGGCAGATTGGGAAAGGGGGTAGTCAGAAGCAAATACTTCTGAGGAGGGACAGGGTCAAAAGAAAGAAGAGAATAAATGGGAGGGCAGGATAGGATTAAGGGAAATAGAGTTAGTTTTTCACAACGTGTGTACTATGGACGTGTTTTGCATAACTGCACATGTATAACCTGTATTAGTTGCTTGCCTTTTCAATGAGGGTGGGTGGGGAGGGAGGAAGGGAGAAGATTTGAAACCTAAAGTTTTAAAAACATACGTTTAAAGAAAATGTTTTCAAATGTCACTGGGAAATAAGAAATACAGGAAATGGGGTACAGTAGTCTGTCCTGCCCTACAGGAAAATAGAAGGGGAAGGGAATAAGAGAAGGGGGGAAGAGATAGGAGAGAGGACAGACTAGGGGAAAGGATATTCTGAACGCATGCCATCTTGGGGTGGGGGAAGGGGTGAGATGGGGTGAAAATTTGGAACTCAAAATCTTGTGGAAGTAAATATTGAAAACTAAAAATAAATAAATTTATACTAAAAAAAAAGAAGCAGCAGCAAGCATTCAGAAGGGAATAGACATCATCCTCCAATCAAGAATTGATTTCATGATACAAAAGGAAGAGGAAGGCAATCATCTTAAAGGGCTGAGCTCAGAGCACAGTTCATGTTGTAGTAAGATAGGCCAAGGAGGATACCTGAGACTCAATATGTATTTGTACTGATTCATGCATGGTCTGGGGCATGGCAAGGGCAAAAGTGGAAGACTGGATCATAGGATCATACATTTAGAACTGGACAACACCTTACAGGAGGAGATCCTGAAGCCCAGGCAGTAGAGCAGGCAAACACCAACACCTGGACCTCCCAGTGCCTCAGTGAGGGCTGGGGGGTGGAGGAGGAACCAGTGGAAACCAGCTCAGAAAACCACCAGGTGCCTCAGCACTCTACTGCTAAGGAATCTCCCAGTACATTAGCAGAAAGGAGGGAGGCAACATTGCAAGGGGCCCCAGGCAGATAAACACCCTGCAGCACCCATCTAAAAGGAGCTGAAGAAAGCTAAAGGAAAGGAAAAGCAGGCAACCTAGAATTGCCTGAAAGTTCCAGCCTTGCTGATTCCAGCCCAACATGAGGTAAGCTGCCAGAACCCTACAGCCTCCAGTTGCCAACATAAGAGGCTTCAGCACACAAAGCCAGTGACCAAGACCTAGGCTCCCAACACAAGAAGCTTGGGTCAGTGCCCTCTTTCCACAGGAGGAGAGCTCAATCTCTTTAAAGGCCGGGGAATAAAGAAACCACGAGTAAAAAGAAACATACCATAGATTCATATTATGAGAAGAGTGAAGATTAAGATAGAAATTCTGAACAGGACAACATTGTCAACAAACCGACATCTGCAACATCAAAAGGGAATATGAACTGGTCTGAAGCCCAAAAAGCCTTCTTAGAAGATCTCAAGAAGGATTTTAAAAGTCTAATGAGAGAGGTAGAAGAGTCCTTAAAAAATACAATTGGCAAACTGGAAAAAAAGTACACTGAAGAAAACAAATCCCTTAAAAATACAATTGGCCAACTGGAGAAGGAAGTACAAAAACTAGCAGAAGAAAACAATCTGTTAAAAACTAGAATTGGACAAATGGAAACTAATGACTCTATGAGAGAGCAAGAATCAGTCAAACAGAAACAAAAAAATGAAAAAATAGATGAAAATGTAAAATACTTCATTGGTAAAACAACCAACCTGGAAAATCGATCCAGGAGGGACAACTTAAAAATTACTGGAGTACCTGAAAATCATGATGAAAAAAAGAGCCTGGACAGTATCTTTCACAAAATCATAAAGGAAAACTGGCCTGAAGTCCTAGAACCAGAAGGTAAAATAACCATAGAAAGAATATACTGGTCACCACCTCAAAGAGATCCCAAATTGGCAACACCCAAGGAATATAATAGCAAACTTCCAAAATTACGAGATGAAAGAGAAGGTGCTGCAAGCAGCCAGAAAGAAACAATTTAAATATCATGGAACCACAGTCAGGATTACACAGGACCTTGTAGCTTCTACATTAAAAGACCACAGGGCATGGGACATAATATTCCATAAGGCAAAGGAGCTTGGATTGCAGCCAAGGATTAATTACCCTGCAAAAATGAGCATGATTTTTCAAGGGAGGAGATGGATATTCAATGAAATAGGGGACTTCCAAACCTTCCTGATAAAAAGACCAGAGCTCAAGAAAAAATTTGATCTTCAAGTACACGATTCAAGAAAGACATAAAAAGGTAAATAGGACAGAAAAATACAATGTGTTGTTAATAAGGGTGGACTGTTTACATCCCTACAAGGGAAGATGATACTTGCAACTCTTGAGAACTGTATTGTTATTACAGCATGTTAAAGGAGTATACATAAAGGGGGTGGATATTAGTTAACTTTGATGTAAAGATAAAAAAAATCTAATCAAAGAGGTTAAATGGATCCAAGTAAGTGGATTAGTCTGATCTTAGAAAATGTACTGAGAAAGGAGGAAGTGGACAAGGGTAAATTACATTATAGGAAAAGACAGAAAATCGTATTACAGTAGAGGAAAAGAAGGGGGGGGTGAGCATTGTTTGAACCTTGCTGTCATCAGATTTGGCTCAGGAAGGGAATAACATAATCAGTTAGGTATAGAAATCTAACTTGCCCTATAGGCAGTAGGAGGGAAAAGGGGAAAGAAAAGGGAGGGGGGATACAAGGGAGGGAAGAAGCAATAAGGGTAAAGGGGAAGAAAAGGGAAAGGGATAATAGAAGGGAGGAGAGACTGAAGGAGGTGGTGATCAAAAAATATGTTTAATAGGAATGTAAATGTATAGCCTGTATCAGATTGTGCACCGTCTTGGGGAGGGTGGTGAGGAGGAAGGGGGAGAAAAATTTTAAACTCAAAAGCATATGGAAGTGATTGTTGATAGATCAAAATAAATTAATAAAATAAATAATAAAAAAAGAGAATTCACTTCATCATTTTAAACTTGGCTGCTTTCTTAGACTTCATGTTTCCCAGAAACTCTTCATTCTGCAAGAAAAAAAATCAACTCTGATATTCTCACCTCAGATAATTTTTCTCCTTGTCATCATGCCCTAGGAGGATACCTCCACCCCTCCATTTTCAGCTTCTTTCTATGTCTTGTCTTCTACCATTAGATTGTGAGCTCCTTGAGGGCAGAGGCTCTCATGCCTTTCTTTGTATCCCTAGTGCTTAACACAATGCCTGGCACATAGTTGTTATTAAATAAATGTTTATTGATTCTGGCTCTGATTCTTGACTTTAAGCTTTGGGGTGGAATCTCGTATGCTTATGAATTAATTCTAATTATTACATTTAGTTATTATGGCACATTGCTATGATTTTTAACGTTAATTCAATTTTTATATGTTAAAATGGGAGCTAATAATCTATTTGATGGGTATTCGTTTAGACAAGGGGTAGCACTATGTAAGGGTGGCCTGTTAAGTTGGAAGGGGCACTGTAATTGCCAGTGGCCACCGTGCTGTTCTGGCTTCCTCCCTATGGACATGCATATTATGATACTGGTAGGATTTTATTTTGTACTATAGCTTGTAACCTCTAGGGAGCAGAATTGACTATGTTCATTGCTAGTGCCAGGTCCTGAAATATTTAGAAATATCTGTTGGATGGCCCTTGGCCATTCATCCTCTCTGAACCTCAGTTCCGTCATCAACAAAATGAGAATAATAATACCTGTAGAGTTGTAGTGAGGATGAAATGAATAATGAAGTGCATAAAAGTGATTTTTTTGAGGGGAAATAAGCAATGATTGGGATGATATCTTACTCCCTGGACTGTGAATCATGACATAATTTAAGAACTCTGCTAATATTTAGTATGACAACTCCTCAGCCTTAGGCATCAAACCCATGTGACTAATTTTCTCTAGGTACTATATTGAAATACTACAATGATTATAACCCATCCATATTTGCCCATAAATTCACCACAAGGGGATTGCCCTATGTACTCAAGGACTTTCTCAATTTCTCCCGGCCTCCTGAAGGTACCAGTGGAATAATCTAGCTGTCTACTTGTCATCCCACACTCTTGCCACATGGTTAGCTCTTTTCTTCCTCACATACATTTCCCTGGATGGTCTCCCATGACATCCTGGGCCATTGCCAGTTGTCTTGACCTTTGTCTTGCCACTGGACTTCAATGACCCTGGAGGAGAGAGTGAGGCTGATGACCTTCGCACAGCTCTGCCCTAGTCATATCCAATTGACACGCAAGTCAAGACATCACTCTTGTGATGTCACTGATCCTCTTTGATAATGGAGGATAAGCAACAGCAATATTTCCCTAATGACATCTTTTATTCTTCTTCAAAATTTTTCATTGGTTATTTGTTGCAGGCTGTTCATGTCCACCATGTAACTTTCTGCTGCCTTCTGTGTGAACTTTGTTTTTAATTCTTCGTGGACTAGCACATAATAAACACTTAATAAATGCTTAATGCCTTGCCTTGCCTTCATTCCAATTTTCTATGCCATAGAGCAGGAGCAGCACCTGTAGAATATTCATATTAAAAAAGATGGACCTTTGTTTTGGGGGAAGTTTGGAGCTAAGAAAGGAGCTTTGCACTTTCCTAAAGTCAATCCATCCTTCTCTTTTCTTCTTGTTGAGCTCTGAGCCCAACTCTTTATTCACCTATATTATCTGTCCTAGATATATATCCTGACAGGTAAATTTTATAGGTTGTCCATCCAAATGTATGTCATAATCTGGGCTTTGTTCATCATCCACTCTGCTTGTTCTTTCTGGTTGGATGATGAAGCCAAACTATTGTGGGTGGTTACAGATCTCTTTCAGGAAGCTCTGCAGTGTTGCAGAGTTTGATGGAACCAGCACAATGCCATCCTCAAACAAAAACATCTACAGGACCTTGCCATCCATAGAGAAAACCTATTCAACATTCACTCAGCTGGATCTCCTCTGTCAGAGTGGAGAACACCTTAGGTGAGCATCTATCTTCCTGTTTTATGCCTCACTTGGTGTTTTTTATCAAAAGATCATTGAACAGAAATTATTTGTGTTGTTATTTTTCAAGGAAACTTGAATGCTTTTGATGTATGAATTGATGATACCTTGTTGGAAAAGAGCTTTTAAAGTGTTGTTTTGCTCTATTGAATCAAATGCTTTTTCAAAATCAGCAGACAGTAAATACAATTGTAGCTTATGTTTCTTACATCTTTCAATCAATTGGAAAATGATAAATATGTGGTCCAGTGTTGAATGTTGCTTGTGAAAGCCTGCTTATTCCCTACTAATATCTTTATTGATGATGTCCTCAATTCCTGTATAGATGACTCTCATAAAGATTTTATGTAACTAGGAGTAGACATATAGGATGGTAGTTGTAGACAGAAAAGGGAGAATATGAGGAATATCCAGGCTGTAGCCCTTAATTCAATATTGTTAGAATGTCAAGTTTATGTTGTATTGTATGATATATAAAATTGATAGTCATTGATGTATTTCTAATATAATATTATTTATTCAGTTCAGTGAACTCATGGGTTTCTGACATAGAAAGTAATGAGTTATCTTTATATATTCTTGATTGTAACATTTCATGTGTGTGATAAGTAAGGGTAAAATATATTGAGTAAATTAAACATTTATAATATACCTAACTTACAACATACATTTTGCTATTGCTATACTAGTAACAGGGCAGCTAGGTGGTATAGTGGATAGATAGAGTGCCTGGCCTACAGTCAGGAAGACCTGAGTTCAGATCTTACTAGCTGTGTGACCCCGGGTAAGTCACACTGTTTGCCTCAGTCTCCTCATCTGTAAAGTGGGGATAATAATAGCACCCACCACTCAGGGTTGTTGTGAGGATCAAATGAGGTAATAATTATAAAGTGCTTACACAGTTCTTGGCACATAGTAAGTATTATATAAATGTCAGCTAGTACTATTTGAAGTAGTAGGAACATTCAAATACTCTGTAGTAGGTTCCCAGGAGAAGGTAGGTAAGCCTTTCTGGGTATCACTATCAGCTGCTTAACCAGATGTGACATTCCATTGATAAGGTTAATTCTGAAAAACTTAAAAATTAACCCTGTGGACGCTTTGTCCTGGGTATTTATTGCCTCAGCAACTCCAAACTGATAAAGATTGGTTAATGACTGATAATTGATATACCTGAGCGAAATTCTAGGGCTTGATTTTTGAAAAGGGTTAGGGATACATAGGAGAGGGAGCCCTATCCAGATTTAGACTCAGTTCTTTGGTGGGAGACTTAAACATCCATGCTCCTCACCTTGTGTGGAGGAGGAACCTTGTGTATCAAGGAGCTGGTGCCCAATGAAGAGGACCAAAGGGAAGAATTCCTTGTACCAAGCATAGACCATAGCCAAGAAACAGCACAGGACAGAGCCATAATTTGGAGAAACAAAGCCAGACTTTGACTTTCATTGGTACTAGAAGCATGTGCATCAAGAAATCAACCTCAGATAAAGACAAATACGCTGAAGGATTCCTGGGCCAAGTGAAGTAGGTTCCATGCCAAGCAGGGCCTAGAGGTTGAGAGCAAGTGAGATACAGAGCCACTGTAAGAAAGAGCAAATCTGACTCTTGCCCTTTATTGGTTCTATGAGATATGTGGATTGTACAGGTTTGAAAGATGGAGATTTACTCCCTCTCAACTCTGAGTGCCTTTTGCTTGTGGAGGGCCTCATCTAGGGTATCTCAAGAAGAGCAATGTTATGAATTGGGAATATTGTATAGATCCCGGAATGATGGAGGCCCATCGGACAGGGAAGGAGAGTTGACTTGGCTGTTAATGGTTAGGTACTTCATTTGTAGTTGGCTTAAATGAAGCTTTCCATATATTTGATATTTTGTTAGCCTTCATGTTGCATGGACTCTAAGGACTTTTTTTTTTTAAAGCGATAAAGACATGAACTAAATTCTACAAGAGCCAAAGAGTTAATATTGAGAAGCCTTCCAAAATTAACCCCAATACATGTAAATAAAGAAAAAGTTTTTACTGCAGTTCTGGGTCAAGGGTTATAATTAAATTTGGCCAGTAAGAGATCCCCACCTATCCACTTTCCTTTCTGCATGTCCTAGCCCCTTCCCCAGCTAGACTAGCCAGGACTGATCCCTGTAAGTTTACTCAACTAATTAGCATTGGCCCAAGAAGGGCATTCCACAAGAATAAAATGAACTTTGTCAGCAAATGTGCAATATTTGAAAGAATCAATTTGAAATAATCAAACCTCCAGGAGTACTCTGATAACTACAGCTTTCAGTGGACCAAGAAGTTTTTCAGTCAGTGGCCATAGTCTATGTGGTGCCTGGCCTTTGAGACCTGAGCAGAATGGGGCTGACTGCACCTCCAGGGATAGGTAAATCAGATCCAAGTACAGCAAAATAGACTTGGCCTATAGGGAATATTCCATGGAATGCGCTCAGTTGCCATTCCTGGTTCTAAGTCAACCACATTGGAGATCTGTGGTTTGCCCCAGCCACATATGATTTGGGGCTAAAGGCTTGGAACTTTGAGATGATGGTATTAGAGCCAGAATTACTAATGGCTCAGTAGATCCACAAAAGGGGACAATTAGCCCTTCTGCCTCTCTCCTCCTTGCTGGCTGAGAATCATGTTAAGCCTGTTTCAGTCTGCTTCCCAGTAGAGAAGGGCAACTGATTGTCTCTCACCCTGACCTTATGGCAGCTGTGTGCACATGGCATCTAAGGGACATGTCTTGTCTAGGCAAGTCTGAACCTGGGTTTGAGTTGACTTTTTCTGTGTTTGTTTTTTCCTACTCTTAGATTAATAAGTACCTATCCCATGATAAACATGTCCATGTTTGGAGACTTCCTCATGAATTAGAGGCCCTAGGTCCCATAAGAAGTGTGATTTTTGGAAATGCAGCAGGAGTACTATGATGGTAGGAAGGGGCAGGGGGTGGGGTCGGGATGAAGATGGACTTCACTACATTGGTGTTTTCTCTGTCTAATAGTTTTCAAAGAGCTATCTCTTTCCAGCTTTGCCTGAAACTCTTTCCAAATGGTTTAAGCAGCTTAGTGAACTCATGGGTCTCATAGAAAGTAAGGAGTGGTCTGGCCTTCAAATCTCTCAAAAGAATTTATTAAGGATTCAAACAAATCAATTAAAAATAGATAAATAATACTCACAGATTGATATTGAAAGCTATCAATACAAGAAGAATGACACTCATGGGATACTGTAAGATTATGATTGTTATGATCTTCAGAGAGGCCCCAATGTGGTAAATTCCATCTTCATCCCCTCCTTCCTTCTTCTTTCCATTTCCTTGAGATTCCACATATACTAACTTAAAAAAAAACCCAACCAATTAAGGTGCTCTACTGAGTGTAATGTGTCAGCTCTGAGAGGCCAGGGACCATGCAGAGACTGAGTATGGTACAGTAAGGACACTTCCAAATATGAATTAATGATGCAGCCCAGCTCTCATTCCTGAATGCCTGAAAGCAGGACCCTTTCAGTGTCTCTGCTATGACCTGACATTTCACTAAAGGAGTTGGTTGTCTGTCACTTGGCAAACTTACTGACCTACATGCACACACATCTCTTTCCTATCCCATAACCCTCTATTCATTTCTGCTTTGTTTAGCCCTGACTCATAGTTTTTTTAAGCAATTGTAGTAGATGGACTGTTGTGGCAGGCATTTTCCTATACAAATGACCTTCTTAAGTGAGTCCCTCTTTTTTCTTGGTTTCCAGAAAGGGGTACAAGCATCAGACAAGCAAACATGAGAAGGAAAAGAACTTGAAAAATTTTGCAGAGTTGGGTCTCTGATTTTTTTCTTCTTTCAGAATGACTCTTGTATGCCAGGCCTAATCAAAAAGAAAATGTCATCATCAAATGAACAATTAGGGCAAATCAGGCTGAAAAAGAATCACAGAATCCCTCCCCTCCACCTTCCCCCCACTCCAGCTCTGCCTTGGCTGGGTGGCTGTTAAGCTATAGTTAGATGATAGAATCTGTGATATTGGTGACACTTTACAACTTGCTCATCTGTAATCAAAGAAGAGTCAGCAGTGGGCATTACTTGTCCTGTGCAAGCTCAGGCAGCCCATTAATAGCCTGGCCTACAAAGAGAACAATCTGTCCTCTGCATAGACACCTTGTTATCCATTTACTATTTTAACAGAGTAATTGGCACGACCTGAATGTGGTAACGGATGCTGATGCCTCAAGCTCCCCATTAGATCCTTTAAGAAAAAGCAGGTGAGTATCCCTCTCACATGAATAATGCCAATCAAGTCATATTTCAGTACTTCAAGGGGCCACGGTTTCATTGGGGTGGTTATGGACACTCCTTCCAGTGACACAGGGCACATCCCTTTTACTACTTCTTAGTATTCAAGAGAGAATTCGTTCTGGCTCTGTTACAAATGTAGAGGCATACTTCATTTTATTGTCCTTCACTTTACTGCGTTTTGCAGATTCTGTATTTTTTTTTTTACAAATTGAAGATTTGTGAGAACCCTGCATTGAGCAAGTCTATTGGCATCATTTTTCCAACACCATGTACTCACATCGTGTCTCTGTCACATTTTTGGTAACTCTCGCCATAGTTCAGTTTTTTTCTTTTTATTATATCTGTTGTGGTGATGTGTGATCAATGATCTTTGATGTTGCTATTGTAATTGTTTTGGGGCTTCACAAACCACACCCATATGAGTGAATTTAATGGCTAAATGTTGCATAAGTTTCTGACTGTTCCACTGATTGGACCTTCCCCCATTTTTCTCCCTCTTCTTGGGCCTCTCTATTCCCTGAGACACAATGATATTGAAGAATATTACATAAACTTAGTTGATAAAGCAGTAGCAGAGTTTGAGAGGATTGACTCCAATTTTGTAAGAAGTTCTCTTGTGGGTAAAATGCTATCAAACAACATGGCATGCTACAGAGATATCGTTCATGAAAGGATGAGTCAATTGATGCGATCAACTTCATTGCTGTCTTATTTTAAGAAATTGCTACAGCCACCCCAACCTTCAGCAGCCACCACTCTGATCAGTCAGCAGCCATCAACATCGAGGCAAGACCCTCTGCTAGCAAAAAGATTATGACTCACTGAAGGCTCAGATGATAGTTACTATTTTTTTTAGCAATAAAGTATTTTTAAATTAAGGTATATACTTTTTTAGACATAATACTATCGCACACTTAATAGACCACAGTAAGATGTAAACAAATTTTACATGCGCTGGGAAACCAAAACATTAGCATGACTTGCTTTATTGTGATAATTGCTTTATTGTGGTGGTCTGGAACCAAATCTGCAATATCTCTGAGGTATGTCTGTATGTCATCTCATTTTGAGTGGGCCCCTCATGCAGCAAAGCAATCCTTTTACTCATCCAAAATTGATTCCCAACCTATTCTCACCAACGGCTGTTCCAGACCTTTTCTCTTATGCCTCCCTCAGTGCCCTCCCCACCCTCACAGCTGAGGTGCTTGCCTCACACTTCATTGAAAAACTTGAGGCCATTGCCCCAGAGCAGTCTTTTCCCTCTTTCCCCATCTCACAGCCCCTTGACATCATCCCCTACCATTTCCTCCTTTATTCCAGACTCTGACCAAGAGGTGTTTTTTTCCCTTCTAAAGCTTACCCCTCTTACTTTTTACCTCAACCTTATAATTGTCAAAAAATTATACAAAATGGCAACAATCAATGTTAGAAGGGTTGTGAAAGGATAGGCAGACTAATATTTCTCATCAATTCCCAACATTTAGCTAAAGCTACAATTCTTTTTTAGGCAATTGGGTTAAGTGACTTGCCCAGGGTCACACAGCTAGTAAGTGTCAAGTGTTTGGTCTGAGGCCAGATTTGAACTCAGGTCCTCCTGACTTCAGGGCCAGTGCTCTAGCCACTGCACCCTCTAGCTGCCCCTGTGAAGGATTTTTAAAAAGCTAAATAGAGGATTTTAGATTTTATCCTAGGGATGACAGGGAGCTACTGGTGTTGATTGAGTCAGGCAGTGACAAGATTCATATTGAAGGAAAATCATTTTGACAGCAGTATGTTGGATGGAATGGAATAATGTGAGACTTGAGTCAGGGAGACCAGTCGGAAGCTATTGCAACAAACCAGCATAAGGTAATATGGGCCTGAACTAAAGCGGTTGTTGTGTGAGTAGAAAGAAGGGATGAGATGGGAGAGGTGTTGTAGAGGAAGAAATAGCAAGATTTGACAACATGTTGGATAGGTGTGGTGACAGAGAATGAGTGTTAGAAAATAATGTTGGGGTAGCTAGGTGGCACAGTGGATAGAACTCAGGCTTTGGAGTCAGGAGGACCTGAGTTCAAATATGGCGTCAGACCCTTGACACTTACTAGCTGTGTGACCCTGGGCAAGTCACTTAACCCTGACTGCCTTGCCAAAAAAAGCAATAAAATAGGAAGATAATGTCAAAATTATGAACCTAGGAGATAGGAAGAATGTTGGTTTCTTTGACAGTAATGATGGAGTTGAGAAAGGAAGGTTTGGTTGAGAAGATAATGAATTCAGTACTAGATATACTGAGTTTGAATGTCTCTGGGACATCCATTTTGAAATGTCCCTGAGACAAGTGGTAATATGGGACTAAAGCTCAGGAGAGAGGCTAGGGCTGGATATATAGATCTGTGAGTTATACACCCAACCCATGAAGCTGATGAAGTTACTGAGAGACTGTAGTGACAAAAGAGAATAGGACCTATGACAGAGCCTTGAGGTACACCCAGAGTTAGGGGGTGGGATATGGATGAGGAGCCATCAAAGGAAACTGAGGAGGGCTCAGACAGATACGAAGAGAACCAGGAGAGAGTAGTGTCATGGAAACCTAGAGAGGAGAGAGTATTCAGGAGGAAAGAGTGGTCAACAGTGTCAAATGCAGCAGATAGATAAGGATAAGGACTGAGAAGAGAACAGCATATTTGGAAATGAAGAGATTGTTGGTAACTTTGGAGAGAGCCATTTTCAACTGAGTGATGAGGTTGGAAGCCAGACTGCAAAGCGTTGGGAAGTGAGTCAGAGGAGAGTCAGTGGAGGCAGCAAGTATAGATAGCGTTTTCAAGGAGTGTGGCTAGAAAAAGGAGGAGAGATTAAGGACAATAGCTTTAATGTAAGGTAGCATCTAGTAAAGGTTTCTGAAGGATGAGGGAGACTTGGGCATATTAGAAGGCAGCAGAAAAAGGGGGGGGGGAGAGAGAGAGAGAGAGAGAGAGAGAGAGAGAGAGAGAGAGAGAGAGAGAGAGAGAGAGAGAGAGAGAGAGAGAGATATTCGAGGTTGCAATCTGATGGAGAAGATGGTGGGAGGGAATGCAATCAAGTACATATGTAGAAAGGCTGGTAAGGAAAAAGTCTATGTCTTTATCAAAAAGTGGGGAAAAAAAGGAAAGAATTGGGGATAATGTCAAAGGATTTTGAGAGTGGAAGAGAAAGAAAGAAGAGAGAGGTCAGGTTGAATATCCTCAATCTTCATAGCAAAATAATAGGAAAGACCTGGGGTGGGAGGGGGTGGGAGAAAAAGAGACAGACAGACACAGAGAGAGGTGGGAAGGAGGACATATGGGAGAAAGAGAGACAGACAGAGACAGGCAGAAGGATATGTGGGAGACTTCAGAAGGAAAAGAGAAAGTTTGGAATAGCTTTTGTGGGAAGTAAAATAGGGAATCAATTAGAAAGAAATAAAAGGATTTCCTTGCTGCAACAGGGTCCAGTTGATCACTTGATTTTGGCATTTGACTTTAAAATAAATTCCTCCGATTGACCAACCAAGTCATACCAAAACGTGTTTAGTTAAGGTATGCGGGAGAGAGAGATGATACCATCTTCTTAGAGGTTTCATTGAGAATACAGGATTAATACAGGAAAAGTTAAACAAGAAAAAATTTTTAAAAAATAGTTCAGGATAACAGTAGAAATGGTATTACACTAGGAAATCATGATTTAGGAATGCCTGAGCACAGTAATAACAGTGATATAATGACTTGTTGGGCTGGAGAAAAGACTATTCCCCTGGGAAGGCTCCTTGAAGGAGATAAGATTAGAAGAGAGTTGGGGAGGAGAAAAGAGAAGTGACTAAGAAAAAACTGTGCCTTGAACCCAAACTTGAAGCTCTTCTGAATAGCTCTCTGCTCTTTGGCTCTTACAGAATTTGTCACCATGGCACCTACACCTAAGCACAAGAGTGCTCCAGCACACGTGTGTGTGTGTGTGTGTGTGTGTGTGTGTGTGTGTGTGTGTGTGTGTGTACACTGGCTTTAGCTAGCACGCATTTATTCCCTCTGAGAGACAGCTCACCAGACCAGTTCTATGCTTCAGAATTAATTGTCCCAATAGGAGTTACAGACTTATTTCTCTAATCCCAGGAAAACACAACCTCCCCACCCCTAACTAACAGTGACACTTACTGTCATATAAATGCTGAGTCAAAAGAAGAAGTGAGCTAGGCCCTGGTACACAGGACCTTACAGCCAGTAGGCATTTATTAAATATTGACTTGAACTCAAGTTACTTAGCTGGAATGTATATATCAGCCTATTCAGTTTGGTACAGAAGCCACCTGATTATTTCTCATCAATTCCCCCCCTCCTTATAAAGGGGAAGTCCTTACAGGAATTATCCCAAATGGGTCATCAAGTATGCAAATGAGGTATTGAGTATTCAAATTAGATATTGATTTCTAGTGTTTATGGAAATGCCCATTCAAAGTGCCAATTGGCTATAAACAATTGCAAATACAGTAACCAAACATTCATGTAACTGATTTCAAACATTATATGGCAAAGGAGAAAACACTGCAATTATTTTTACCAAGGAAGCAGACAAAAGGGACTCTCTTTATTGCTAAGTAGTCCCAGAGTGTCCAAACTGGTTAGTGAAGCAACTTGACTGATGCAAGACCCATGGATAAAAAGCTCACTTGAGTAAGAGTTTTGAGTTTCCTTTTCTTACTCTTCTCCCCTCTGGTACAAAGGCCAGCAAAAAGCAATAAGAGCTCATAGCTACCTATTTATAGAGGCAGCTAGGTGGCTAAGTGGATAGAATATTGAGCCCTGAGTCAGGAAGACCTGAGTTCCAATCTGACGCCAGACACTTATTAGTTGTGTGACCCTGGGCAAGTCACTTAACCTCGGTTTTCCTTAATCCACTGGAGAAGCAAATGACAAAGCACTTCATTATCTTTGCCAGGAAAACCCCCTGGACAGGACTGCTTGCTGTGTTCACACAGGAGAGTTGGACACAACTGAACAACAATAGTATTTTTTTTTTCAGGCAGCTGGAGGGTGCAGTGGATAGAGTGCTAAGCCTAGAGTCAGAAATGTCTGAGTTCACATCTGGCCTCAGACACTTAACTAGCTGTGTGACCTTGGGCAAGGCCCTTAAATCCTCTTTGCCTCAGTTTCCTCATCTGTAAAATGAGCTGGAGAAGGAAATGGCAAACCACTCCAGAATCTTTGCCAAGAAAAGTCAGACACAACTGAAATGACTGAACGACAAAACTACTTAAAATTTGCAAAGTGCTTTCCATACATTATCCTGTTTGATCCTCACAACAATGCTGTGGAGATAGATACTATTATTATCTCCATTTTACTGATGAGGAAATTGAGGCTGAGAGAAGTTATATAACTTGCTCAGGGTGACATAGCTTGTAAGTGGCTGAGGTAGGATTCTAATTAGGGTCTTCCTGACTCCAAATCTAGCACTCCATCCACTGGGCTTCCTAATTTCCTCCAGTAGAAGAGACAGAAGACAGTGAAGCAAAGCAGGAAAAAGAGTCACGGAGGGGCCTGGCACATTCCTAATATGGCTAATTTAGCTCTGACAAGTCATACCTCTAATGTCACTATACTCTAGGGAGACATTTGGGAACAATTCCGAAAGGTGGATTGCCACTTCTGATCAAGGTAACACTAATGATGTCTCATCCAATCCATTTCTAAGCACTAGGAAAAGTGCACAGACTTATAAAATGCATCTAAATTGACCTTGTTCTACAAAACCGTCTCTTAGAATGCCATTGAGGATTTGGAATTAGGCAAGGGGGTCTTAATCTATGAACTTTTAAAAAATTGATAATTATATTTTAACATAATTGGTTTCCTTTGTAATACTATGCATTTTATCTTCATGCATTTAAAACCATCTTTTTAATTTTTTCTCTGAAGATGGGTCCATAAGTTTCACCTGTCTGGCAATGAGAATAAACACACACGCACACACCCACCCACACGCACACACCCACTCATGCGCTCAGTAAGAACTCCTGCTCCAGAGAACTACTGCACCTCTGACAATCATAAACCCATTGCCAGAAGACAAAGAACAGATGATTCTGAAGAAGGTACAAATGGAAGTTTCTGCAAAGCATGATGGAACTGAAAGGTAACCCTGGCACTAAACTCCCTGGGAAGCCTTGGAAAGGGGGGAATTTCACAGGGGGGACAGGATCCTCCCCACAGCAGCTGCAGTCCAGACAACTTAGCCTATAAAATGAGCCCTCCCAATGGCTCCCAACTCCCCTGTACTTTAGAACTGGGCTCTGAGAGATACCAAGGCTTTCCATATACAATAGTAATGCATAACAGTTGTTGCCCACTGGCATTAGTCTAGATGACTTTTAGTTTGCTTTTCTAGCCTTCAGCTTCATAATATCCTTGATTTTTTCACTCTAAAGAGAGACCACTACCACTCCATGTCTTAGTAAGTGGTCTTCATGAGTTGCTGTGGCCAAAAAGAAAATTCATCATTTGGTGGCCAACCTTCTGGTGAGGAGCTTCTGCACACTTAGTCAGGATGGTCCTCAAATGAGACAGAGTCCATCACTGGGCATGTACCTGAAACCTTCCTGGCTTGGTAAGATCTTCCAAAGCTTCTACTCCACTGCTATAACTTTCAACAACCCAGTGCCAATTTGTTGCCATGATGAGGCACAGGAGGACTTTACTAAAGCTGAATGTCCTACTGTGAAAGATATGTGAGTGCTTGGTATGATTGGTTGACTTCAGTCTTCCCAAGCAAGGATCACATCCCCTGACTGGCCAATATTCTGCCTTCCCCTGCTTTCCTGAAAAATGTAATGGCTTCACAACCTTTGATACCATTTTTCAAAGACATACTCTTCCATCCTCCTGCCATTTCTCATGTTCCTAGCACAATGTTCTTGAGCTTCTTCATCTACATCCTGTGACTCAGCCTTTGCTCCACATCCCCTTCTCCACTGCAGGGCTTGCTAGCCTTCTAAAAGGAAACATTGGCAGTGCCTTTGATAATAATTGTCACCATGAAATAGGCTATTTGGAGCTTTGAACTCTAACCCCCCTCTGTTTCAGGGGCAGTTTGTCCCAGGTAGGAAATAATGCTTAGTTCCTTATCCTAAACTCTTCTAAAAATCCCCCCCTCCAAAAAAAGATGAGTCAGAAGTTAATATGTACGGATTTTCTTTTTAGTCTCAATGTTTCATATTCTTTATATGTGGCTTGATTTCTTCTAGTTATTAGGTCCTTAATAATTGGGTAAGGAATGCCAGAACAACTGAGAAGGCTGATCTTTGGAGTAGGCTGAGCTCCTAAATTCCATTACAATCGGGATGTGGACTGGGCCTGGGTTAAAGGCTGGGTATGAAAGCAGTGAGTCTGGACAGAAATCTAGTTACTGCTGAACTTGGGGCAGAATTATTGCCCTTTTCCCACTGAGATCCCAGTACTATCACTAATTTCACTGTGTGATGTAAGGCAAGTCTCTCTCTCCCCCAATCCTTCAGTTTCTCTAAAAAGGAAGGATTGGATGTTTTCTAAGGTTTCTCCCAAGTCTGACAGTCTTTTTCTTATTTTTGTAAATAGTATCTTATTTTTTCCAATTACATATAAAGATAGTTTTCAACATTCATTTTTTTTTTTTGGTGAGGCAATTGGGGTTAAGTGACTTGCCCAGGGTCATGCAGCCAGTAAGTGCCCAGTGTCTGGTCTGAGGCTGGATTTGAATTCAGGTTCTCCTGACTCCAGGCCTAGTACTCTATCCACTTCGCCACCTAGCTGCCCCTCAACATTCATTTTCAATAAGATTTTGAGTTCCGATTTTTTTCTCCCTCCTTCCCTCCTATCCCCCCTCCACAAGATTGCAAGCAATCTGATACAGGTTATACACGTGCAATCATATTTCCACATTAGTCATGTTGGGAAAAAAGAAAGGGAACAAAAGGGATAAGCCACCCCCCAAAAAAGTGACAAACTATGTTTCGATCTGCATTCTGACCCCATAGTTTTTTCTTTAGATGTAGATAGCATTTTCTGTCATGAGTTCTGTGGAATTGTCTTGTGTGTATGTGTGTGTGTGGGGGGGCAGCTAGGTGGGTCAGTGGATAGAGCACTTGTCTTGGAGTCAGGAGCACCTGAGCTCAAATCGGGCCTCAGACACATTACATTCACTAGCTGTGTGACCTTGAGCAAGTCACTTAAACCTGACTGCCTCACCAAAAAACAACCCCCCCCAAAAAAAGCAAAGGAATTATCTCTGATCACTGTATGAAGAGCCAAGTCTATCAAAGTTGGTCATGGGCACAATGTTGCTGCTACTGTGTACAATGGTCTCCTGATTCTGCTCATTTCATTCCGCATCAGTCCATACAAATCTTTCCAGGTTTTTCTGAAATCCTCCTGTTCATCATTTCTTATAGCAAAATAGTATTCTATTACATTCATGTACCACAACTTGTTCAGCCATTCCCCAACTGATGGACATCCTCTCAATTTCCAATTCTTTGCCACCACAAAAAGAGCTGCTATGAATATTTTCGTACAGGTGGGTCCTTTTCCCTATTTTATGATCTCTTTGGGATACAACCAAATCTGACATCCTTAATCTATATCTTCTGCTACCCTAGGGCTGGACGCCGGCCCAAGGTGCTGAAGGGGCGGAAGCAGTCTTCTCCCTTTCAGGGGTGTCCTGGTCACTCTGTTCGCTCTCCCGTGTCCAGCTCAGTCCGCCCATCCCCCACCCCTCGCTCCTGACCCTGAAGAGGGCGGGGCATAGGCACCCGGCTCAAGCGAGCTCCACAGTTAAGCTCCTTCCTCCCGAGGACCCGGGGGTGCCGCAGGTGTGTGTATGTGGGGGGGCCTCTACCGCCCTCGCCCTCACGCTCCCCGCGGCCCCGCTTCGCCCGAGACTCCGCACGTCCGGGGAGAGGCAGGTGCGGGAGCAGAACAGCAGCAGCAGCAACAGCATCACGCGCGGTTTTGAGGCGCCCGAGGGGTGTGTGCAGAACGAGGCGGGGCCCGGCTCGGGAGGGCGGGCCGCGCATGCGCCTTGCCGGGCGCCGCTGGTGGAGCTGGGAGATGGCGGCGGCGGCGCAGCGCTGAGCGTGTGAGCAGCGAGCCCGGGAGCCGCCGGCCCGGTCCCCCCTCCCTGCCCTTCCCTCCCCTTCCCCTTCCCTCCGGGCCCCGCTCCACCGCTCCGACCCCGCCGTCCGAGCCCCGCCATGGGTAACGAGGCCAGCCTGGAGGGGGGAGCCGGGGACGGGCTGCCGGCGGCGGGCGGCCCCAGCCCCAGCCCCGGCCACGGCCCCGGCCCCGGCCCCGCGGCGGGGAAGAGCCTTCAGCACCAGGAAGCGGACAGCTCCCCTCAGCCGGAGCTGCGCGAGCGGCCACAGCCCAGCAGCCTCCGGGCCCCGGCCCCGGCCCCACCGCAGACACGGCCAGGTAAGGCAGCCCAGGTCCAGGGGGGTCCGAACCCTCCCTCCCAGCCGTCCCCGTTGGCCCCGGACTGCAGCGGGGCGCGGGCAGAGGCCGGGCCCCGGCTCCCTCTCCTGGGGGGCAACGTCGTGGGCTTGGTCAACCGGGATGCTTTAGGTTAATGAGTCTGGAGTAGGGATGAGGAGGGTGGGGAGGGGGCAAGATCTCTGTGGGGAGGGGAGTCCTAACAGAACAACAACAGCAAGAAATAGCTCCCCTTTCTCTGCTGTCTTAGGTTTACAAAGCTGCTTCCTCACAGCCAGTCCTGGGTAGTAGATCCAGTGAGTAGTATTATACCCATTTATTAGAAGAGGAAGCTGAGTCTCCAAGAGGTGGAGTGACTTGCAGGGGGTAGCTAGATGGGAAGGAGAGAGAAGACGGGGCTCCAAGCTGGGTGAATTCTCAGCCCCTGGTGGGGGAAGGGGTGCAGTTATCAAGGATTAGGGGCTTGAGTAGGTGCAATCATCTTCATCCAGGGAAGATGGAACTCTGGATTCATTTGGGGTGTGTGGGAGGAGGTGGGACTGAGGGAGGGGGCGCTTGGTATTCATGCTGCAAAACTGAGAGAATAGGGCTTAGCTCAGAGAAGAGCCCTTGGGTCCATCCTTCTGACAGGGATGGAACAAGTAGCAGGGCAGCCAGAGCATAAATAAGGTCTGTAGGGGAGGTGAAGAAAGCTTGGGGCAGAGAGGAGGAAGAGGAATAGGGAAAAACACCGATTACAATCTGCTAGGGATAGGGAGGTTGAGATGAAGTTCACTGTGAGATAGGATGCAGTGTAGCTCAGTGAGTGAGCTAGACGAGTTAGAGTTCATGGGCAAAAAGGGTTCAGATCGGGGCTGTATGTGTGTAGAACAATATAGCTTACTAACATCCTTTTTTCAAGCGGTACTTTGAATCTTGTCTCATCTAGTGAGAGCAAAGCAGTCAGCTGGAAAGTGTTCCCTTTCTGCGCCCAGCTAGATCCCGTCTTCTCTCATCATGCATTAGCTTAGTACAGTGTCCGTTTTTTATTTCACAGCCTGGAACTCCACACCAGCACATTGTACCCCAAATCTGATTACTCTAAATGCAGCTGGTTCGGAGTATTAAATAGATGATTATGTAACCTCAGCTCTGTAGATCTAGCTACATGGGGGAAATTGCTCAATGAAAAAATGTCATAGGTATTTGTAAACATTTTCTTCTCATTCTGTGGTCTGGGAAAAGCACCAGTGAGGGTGGTTCATTGGGAGAAATATGTCGTGTAAAGTAGCTTCATATTTGTGGTTGATAGAATCATACAGATATGATAAATAGTAGCATGAATACAGGGGACAGAGCGTATACATTCAGGATGTTAGAAGCAACTTAATTAACACAACACATTTAGCAGGGTCATGAGCTCTACCTGTAGCATTTAGTGACAATCAGTATTTTGATGTTAAATTAAAATTGTGTTGAAATCTTCTAGCACCGATTTTGTTCTCTGTCGCCTTAGGTTTTAGTCTGTAAGACAGATAACTCTCAGGGAAGATAAGAAAAAGCACCCGAAAAGCCATGAAATATTTGATAGAATGTTGGGAGAATGGCTTGGAAATAGATGTTAACTGAAATCCTGCAAAACCAATCAAATGGTTATGAAGGCAGTGTAGGGAAAATGCCTGTCAGTAGTAAAACAACACCCTGAAAACTCACATAGGCTACCAGGAGATGACAGGTTGAAATGGAAGGCATTATCTCTGTACCATTTTCTTTAAATCAAACAGGCTGGAGTCAGAGTGAAGCTAGAGATAGCTTTGGGATTCACTCTGAATCTGGTCATTTATGCTCCTGTGCTTTTCTGTGTGGGAGCTAATTGCCTGTGATGGAACATTATTTTTGATTGTTCAGCTGTCCAAGTATGTATATATTTCCTAACAACTCAAATTTCTTAGACAACTGGAAGTAACGAATGGTCGTTATTGAAATTGTAAGCCTGCCACTGCTGGGTTGCTTTGCAAATCAGTTCTATGAGCATTATTTTTATGAAGACAAAGCTAGGACATGTGTTCATTTCCCATGAATTATTTTAATCCACTTAATATTGTACCACTCCTAATATTGTGAGCATTCTTCATTTTGCTGCATATTGTAGTGGTATTTGGATTTTGGCTGGAGGCAAACTCCCTTCTGAGAAACTGTGGTGAACATAAAATAACACCTTGTCATTTGGAAGTTCTTGATATAAGGGAACTCAGTATTTGATTTCTCATTACTAGACTGGTTCTTTTGATTATGGTCAGTTTGTAATGCCACCATCTACAGTTTTTATAAAAATACAAATTTTATTTTCATTTCATTAACAAGTACCAGTATTCCAACGTATAAACAGAGCATAAGAAAATAAAATAAGAAAAATGAGCATGTAGGATAAAATTCAAAAAACCCCAACCCCAACAAAAAGCAAACACCCCAAGAACATGAATGATCGCATTTGTTATGTACTGATCACTAAACCTGCCCTAAAAAACCTATTTATTCATCTTGATGTGGCAGTACCCATACAATCCCCTCTTTTATGATTTTTTTTCATCTTCTTTTCAGTCTGTAACATGTATTTGTTGCTATGCTTACTGTCTGTAACTATGTAATTGTAGTTAATGTATATTGTTCTATTGGTTCTGCTTTCTTTACTCTGCATCATTACTTCACATAAGTCTTCCCATATTTCCTTGAATTCTTCCTATTTGTTGTTTGTTGTAGAATATTCCATTATATTCTATAACCATTTGAAATATCTATTAAAATTGGGTAACGTCAAAGGTCAGCTTAGAATAGTGGGAGCAAAGACCAGTGTCTACAGCTACTGTCCTGTTTTATGAGATCACATTTCGTTTACATTTCACTGTCTGTCAATACTCAGAAGCAAACAGACAGATGGGGAAAGATTGGGAATCATTTCCACCAAAGGTTGGAAACTGAGGGTAGGCAGTACCATTGACAACAGAGCTCTGCGATCTACATGCAGTTTTCCCCAGGGATCACTTCAATTCCTTGGGTTGTAGGAAAACAGAGAACATGGGTGGGCAGTACCAGAGTGACCCTAGGCATTGGAGTAGCACAGGAGAGGACCTTCTCCTTATTGTCAGGTTGGAGTCTCTGGAAAAGAAAGGATCTTTTTTCTCTAGCTGTAATTCAGCTTGTCATATTGGCTCAGCCAGAGCAGCACCTAAACTGTCTATCCTCCTTTTCCTTTAGCATCAAAATGGCTTCCCATTTCCTCCTGTCAGAGTGTCCTGGGTCCCTGCTGTCAAATTTAGCCTGCTCAGCTGTGTGCTACTGGTGAACAGATTGGACCATTGAGGAAAAAAGACCTGAGAGATGCATTTCTGAGTGTTCAAAACAAGAGCCAAAGGGAAAGGATGACATATCTGTTTAAAGCAAATTCACAAATTTAGCGGCAATCTTTCCAGTCCAATTAATTAAATTCACTTCAATTTATTTAGTGCTTACTGTGCCTAACACACAATGCTACATGTTAGGGAAGATTGAAAGGTGATGAAAACATGGCCTTCATCCTCATGAAATCTACTGTCTAGTAGGGAAGATTAAAAAAAATTACGTATACAAGTAACTGTAATATAAGGCAGAATGTGCAAGATAATGATTGGGAAGTAGTATGATAATTAAAAGCCTCCTATAAGATGAATGAAAAACGGGAAGGGGAGAGTAACCATCTCACCCAGTCACAAGAGAGTTAAACTGTTGATTAATATAATGCCAAAATAACAACCCTTGTTACTAGGAGCAACTTCTGTATTTTCTTACACTATGCTGACTTAGCATTGTACCTGTGTTGACACTACTCTCAGAAGCCAAGTGGGGCAAGAGAGCTTGATCCAAATCCCTGCAAATGGCAACACCCACAGTCTCGAAGCCTGCTACTTAGAGTTACAGAAAGCCAGGACACCAGGAAGGGTGATGGAGAGCTGGGTGTGGAAACACTTTTCTACAGGTTTTCAATCACTTTTTCAAGACTATGCTACCCGTACACGACCCAGACTGGTTGTGATCTGTTTCCGAATCAGTCAGTTAGTCTGGTAATAACCATTTCTTGAGTGCCTACCATGTGTAAGATCCTAAGTTAGGCCCTGAGGAAGACCCTGAGCTGAATAAAATATAGCCCCTGCTGTCAAGGACCTTAGACTCCTGTTGGAGAGACAGCATGTAAAAAATCAGGTGATGATGCAGGCTAAGACTATGAGATGTCACAGGATGGTAAATGATTGATAGGTGAAGGCTAAGGCTAGTAAGCACCTTCAAGGAAATGTGGTAGAGGATAAACAACGCTGGTTTTGGAATCAAAAGATTTTGGCTTTGAAACCTATCTCTGCTGCTTCCTATTTGGGTGATTTGGGGTAAGTTACCTTCTCTCTTTCTGTCTTTGACTCTCTGTCAAATTGTTGCACGCTGAAGGGGTCAGAGAAGGCTCCACAAGAGATGTAGAATTTCAAGAAGGAAGGAAGGAAGGATTTATTTAAAAACTTACCAAGCACCTGCTATATACTAGACGCCGTGCTAAACACTTTACAAATATTGTTTCAACTGAACCTTAAAATAACCCAGGGAAGTGACTGCTATTATTATCCCCATTTTACAGGTGAGGAAATGGAGGCAAACAGAAGTTAAGTGACTTGCCCAGGGTCACACAGCTAGTAAGTATCTGAGGTTAGATTTGTAGTCTCATTTTTTTTAAAGGCAGTTGGGGTTAAGTGACTTGCCCAGAGTCACACAGCTAGTTAAGTGTCAGGTGTTTGGTCTGAGGCCAGATTTGAACTCAGGGCTGGTGCTGAGGTTAGATTTGAACTCAAGTCTTCCTGACTGCAGGCTCAGTGTGCTACCTAGCTGCAAGAGTTGAAAAGGATCCCATTGGCCATCTAGTCCAACCCATACCTGAACAAGAATCCCCTCTGCAGCATACTCGATGAGTGACTCATTTACCCTTT